TCACGGTCCTGATAGATGCAAAGGTCAGTTAGTGTTTCACAGACAGGTGAACTGAGAGGAATGCCTGAGCTCATTAGATGTAGAGATAATTCGCTTAGTTTGTTTCCTGCCACTTAAACCTGAAAAAGCAAACATGACGCAAGCTCTCACACATTCACAGACACTAAACATGGCAACAGAAAGCAGAACTCAGCAAAAGCTGCTATGTTCAGTCTGACTTTTATTCAAACCTTGTGGTTTTTCTGCAGTACTGAGCAGCTTTTATGAAGTGCTGCTCCTGGGTAAAAGCTAAGTAAATAAAGAACCAGACATGCAGGATTGTACCTTGTCGTGTTTGTCAAAGACGCTCTGGAGGAAGAGGTAGGCATTGTGATTGAGCTCTGTGGTGCAGCCTGGAGGAATTTTCAACCTAGAGAGTGTGAAATAATGTAAAGTAGATTTATACTCAATGAGCTTGGGCAGAACAGGAGATAAAATAAAGGTATTACCATAAAAAAGGATATATCTTATAGTTCAATTACAAATGTGACCCAATAGTCCTGTGTACACATTTAGTAGGTGTGGTGAAAATGCACATATTCATTCTACCTTTTTATCTTTCCTGGCTAACAGTGACTGAAGTGTTATGTAAAGTACAGAGTCTAGTATCTGATAGTTTGACTACACCTCCAAGTGTGTTTAGAATCAAATGAAAAGAAAGCTTTATGTTTGAGAAAACAGTGTCACTAGTCAGTGGTGGAAGAACTACTCAGATCAGATGTAACTTAAAGTAACACTAGCATGAGACTCCAAACCAATCCACTCCGCTCCACCCAGCGCTCCCTCTCCCTGCTCCACTATGCTCTACTATGACCTGCTACGCTCCATCATGCTCTGCCCAGCTCTTCAGGTATTTGTCGTTAAGAAATTACAATAAATGAGAATGCAACAAAACTTACTGATCAAGCAGAAATAACTGAAAATCTCTGGTTAGAGCTGCTAATCCTGCTCAAACCCTTTTAGAAGCTAATATCTCTGCACTGCTGTTCAATGAGTCTGGGTCCCAGGAGGCTTCGGCAGCACCTCTCCACAATAAGACAAGTTTTAGAGCAGATTTCTATAAAAAAATAATAATTTGGACAAAGTTGTATACTGTAGCTTTAAGTAAAAGTAGCAGTACTACAGTGAAAACTTCCTGCATTCAAAATGTTACTTAAGTAAAAGTACAAAAGTATTAGCATCAAAACATAAATTACTAAAAGTAAAAAGTATTCATTTTTGCAGAATTGCATTAATGTATATCTTTTTTTTTTTTTATTATAATTACTGATGCATTATTCTGTGTGTCACATTTAATGTTGCAGCTGGAAGTTAATTTTCCACCAGAGATGAATAAAGTATTATGATTATTCATTTTTGTATTAATCTGGTTTTGAAATGTAACTTTTAAAATAAATGTAATGGAGTATAACATACAATATTTGCCTCTAAAATGTAGTGAAGCTGAAGCAGCACAAAATGAAAACACTCAATACCTGAAAAATGTAATTAACTACAGTATTTGAGTAAATGTACTTAGTTGCTTTCCACCACTGTCCCTCAGACAGTATACTGTACACAGTGAGGGAAATCATCAGATGAATCACAGGGGAGAAGAAGCTTTGCAATACATCTGAATAGAAAAACAATGAAGTTTAGAAGTAGCACCAGGTCTTTCAGAAGGCTGAGCAAAATCACACACGGGAAGCAGCTGGTGGTGGCCGTCTGAAAAATAAAGACTCACGGCGGGAAGAGGTAGTCCTGATTTAACTCCAGGTCGTCGTCATATCCGAACCTCCTCAGCACAGTCCAGGTTGTTTCGTGGCGACCTCGCTGAATGAACAGAGTGTGGAGGCACAGGAACCCTGAAGAAAACAGGCAGGAACAACATGGATACAGCTTGTGTGTACGTGAGCATGAGGAGGAGGTAGTGCACCTGTTCATACCTTTCAGAGTGAGTCCGTCCTCGCACACGCCGTCACTCAAATTCTTCCTCACCACATTTTTTACATCCTCTAATGCCTGGGGCTCTAGTGGGATGTTGAAGCATGTCCGCTATGAGCAGTTGGACAGAAACATCAAAGTGAGTCCAAACAAGCAGGAAGATTACTGTGCAGAGGTAACGGAACAGATTCGCTCCCAAAAGAAGAACACGAGGTTCACTGATAAATCCTCCTTTCTGTTGATTCTGATTCCGACTGTCAGCTACAACAGCAGGTTTACCTGAAAGAAGGTGAGCTCATTATCACTGAGGATCCCATTGTTGTCTAGGTCTGACACTCTGAAGATTCGAGTGAGAGCGTTAACACAAAGTGGCTTCATCTGGAAATGAAAGAGCCAAAAACAGTTACTTAAAATGATTTCATACTGCACGTTTTTTTTTTAAACATCAAATGTAAATATAGTACATTCAGATTTTCAATTACCCAAAATAACCTGAAAACCCTTTGATCACACAGTCAATTGTGCTGCATTGACATTAAATGAATCCCAATTCAACAAACTGCATCTATGTTTCCCTCACTTGTGGACCAGAGAGCTGCATGTCGGACGGATCGGAGATGGAATGGGTGGGAACAAATCCGGTGACCATGACAGAATACAACCGGCGGAAATTAGGGGCTAGTCCCGCCCAAATAAAATGCAAAGAACAAATGCAAGTAGAAACTGCGACGAGAGGTCGAGCAAGGATCAAGTATCGAGGACCAGGGAACGATAAACTAAGGACACTAGATTCACCAATGGTTTATTTTTGCTTACTTACATCTTTTTTCTCTGGACAGTAGAGGGGGCCTGTGGGATGCAGAACTGCCTTTTGGGCATAGTAGAACAGCTCTGAGATGTTCTTCAGATTCTTTGCTGAACACTATAAACAGCACAAAAAGGAAGAAGGGAGTTTGTACATAACACATATAGGGTGTTTTCAGTACTCCAGTGTACCCTGCATATAGACTTTTAGTATCTAAAAACCTTTATGCTTTTGGAACCTGGTGGCCAAACAGTGTGGCACTGGTTGATGTACACTGTAATGTTAACAGAACCAGTCTGTATGTGCTGTAAGTGTGTTGTGTGTGTGTGTGTGTGTGAGAGAGAGAGAGAGAGCTAAGTAAGGGCCAGACAGGGTATTAACACACGGGAGCTGTCTGAGCACCATGCCTGATTAACCAGTCTGAAAAAAGCCACAGGTTAGGAGATAATAGTCTGTGTTACAGAGTGACATGGGAGGGGATCAAGAGATAGCGAATTTAGCAGTGTTCTCACACATCAGGAGCGTGTTCATCACACTCAGAAATATTTCACACTCTGAGTTTGAGCCGAGTTCATGGTCCATGTCAAGAACCCAATCCTCTTGTACTGTGATTTCTAAACTGTAATTATTGTTTCTATACTGCCATCATGTAACAAATATTTTAAAACACTGTACTCCGTTTTGAGATTGTGTAATATTTTACTTCAAATGAATAGATTAATAAATTACTTAAAAACACTACAGATAGAAATACAAATAAAAATGTATTAAGCGTAACCTAAAAACAAAACTGTTCCTCTTGGCTTTTACAAAGCTCCTGCTTCCTCCAGCAGTCAGTGCTGTATGGCTGTCATGTTTCTTCCCCTCTTTATGTTCTGTTAATAACTAACAGTACAGTTTTACAGTACAGTTTTAGCATTTGGACTCTGGTCTTCTGTGCAACACACCCATGTCTGTCTGTAGTCTGAGTCAAAAATACTTGAATATAGTAGAATTTATAAGGTAAATCAGGACAGATTTGATATTCCACTCTCTCAACATTAACAATGGTAAACAGAATGGTCATTACCTCACCTCAACACAAGTCTCAATCTCAGTGTACTGGTTCATTATGGGCAGTATGGTCTCCATGCTGCTGTGTTCCACCAGGTCAGACTTGTTCCCCACCAGGATCAGAGGAACCCTGGACAAGCCAACAGTGCACACACACACACAACGCAAACTATTAACACTAAGTAATTACATGCAATGCAAATTTAACATATAGTGCCTGCTAATATAAGAGTATTTTTCATTGTACAGTAGTGCATTTAAGTGATTTCCCTCCCATAAAAGCTGTGGCTCATTTCATGCAGTGACATGCACATACCCAAAGTGAGACTGCCTGCTCTTCATTCCCACATACTATATTTCATGAAATGACAAAAATAAACCTTTTTTCACAGGTACATACCTGCTGTCTTTGTCTGTGTTCTCAGTAATGAGGGGGATCCAGTGGCTGGTGACCTAGAAAGCAAAGGAAGAAAAGATAAAAATGAGAACCATCACTCTGAGAGACATTTCTCAATTTCTACAGTCACAATGAAAAGTTACACTGTTGAGCTCCTACACAAACAAATCACGGAAATGCTAGAACAGAGTTGACTCACCTTTTCTATGGACTTCTTATTGTTGACAGAGTAGACAATGCAGATCACATTTGCCTATGAGAGAGACCAACACAAGAAGCCCATTAGGCTTTTACCTGAACTCAGCACTTCTCTCTGAGTGTAAGACAGAAATGCATCACGTGCTGACTGACCTTGGAGATCTCCTGAAACAACTGCTCATCTGTCTGCTCTGCCTCTGTTGGAGAAAGACATGTGGACCACAGTCCAAAAACAGTATAGTGTCCTTCTTTCTCAAGTTGCAAAATAATAACAATAATAAAATAGCTGAAGACACTACTCATGGCCGCAAAGTACCTGAATAGTCCACAATGTGTGTGGGAACTCTCTCTGGAGTGACATCTGCGGGTATGGTGATTTCCTCAGCTCGATAGGGCACCTGGGAGGGACACAGGTGATCAGGGACTTCAGTAAAACAGTCAAAACAGTGGCGTTCAACTCCGCAAAGTAGATGGTCATTACATTCAAGGTGTAGAGGCATTATCAAGGTTACCAATATCTGACATAAGAATTTTCTCCATACCACATCTGGGAACTCTTCGCTGACCAGAGACATGATGAGAGACGTCTTCCCCACTTTGGCTGTGGATGCAGGGGGGAAACAAAAGGTTTACCATAACCTGGATCAAGTTTGTCCAATAGCTTGCTACAGTTGATATGAAGATGTTTGCTGAGAGTTGGGAACATCACTCATTAACTTTATATCAAAGTAATTATCATTAAGCTTCACAAGCTACTGTGGCCATGCGCCTGGGGCACGCTGTAGATGTGACATTATGGACACTCAATTCCATACAAACCTAACTATGGAAACATAATTCCTAACTGATCTGTTAATAATTTGAGGTTTAGTCTTAATATGAGGAAACAACCTAGTTCTCAAAACTGTTGGGTTTCCAGTGGAGAGGTACCAAGTACCAGGGGCATACAATAACAAATGTGAAAAGCAGTTCTGTAAAATAAAATACTCTAGAAACCACTGCCCTTTATTCAATAATATTCAAAGACATCATTGAACAGGGGAAATCAAAATAGGAAGAAGTCATCAAATTCAGTGATCTTCGACACAAGTGAAAGGTTGGCAAAGTCCTAAATGGCATTAATTCAAAGTGAACACTCTTTTTTTCTCTGTGATATACGAAGTGAAATAACATGGATTACATGCTGGGTAAATAAATGTTAGGAAAGGTGTAGGGACGAATGAAGTAATGTGCACGCGCACACACACGTCAGGTTGTCTGCAACCCCCTGCCCTGCTACCTGTATCAATGCACTGTAACGTGAGTACTATCCTTACAGGTCTTACATGAGCAACACAGTGTAAACGACAGCTTTACTTACGCTCTCCCACTAATAATATCCTCACGTCTTTGCGCATCCTCTCTGGTGTCGACAACCAACTCGGCAAACTGATTTGAGTGAACCATGTATGCTCCTGTCCGGGTGACGGATACAGTCAGCCAGTTCTCCTGGCCTGGCTCGCTTGCTAACGGCTACGTTCGCATTTCAGCTCCGGTCTACACTGGTTTGGAACAGAAGATTCCCTGACACGGAGCTCTACAAACTGTTAAATAACCAGGATAGCAACAAGGCGCCTCTGCTAAAGCCCACCGGCCAGGTACACTCAGTCAGATAAGGATGCAGCAGGTACGTCCAGCCAGACAACCCACAAACTAACTTAACAGCTACAGCATTAGCGGGCGCTAGCAGGCGTGTTTCCGCCACGCCCCTCCAATTCAGTGACTGCGTGAACGTGAGCAAAGATCGTATATTGTTTAGAAATGTCACTTAAAAGCTTTGAGGTCACCCACTCTCTTGACTATCTAGAAAGAGCGTTGGAAGTCTATTGACAGTACTAACTGTAATGACGAACTGTGATATAAACTAGACACAGGGATCTTAATGTTTTGTACTGTATGTTCGATGGTTTCTAAGCTCCATGACATTTCTGGTACCGGGAGAATGGTACAGAGTGAGACATCTTACATTATTCGGCAGCGCCTGTCAACATATACTGTTTAATGGCTAAAATAGAATTTCCCAAGAATACGTTTATTGTGCTTCTAGCAATTCTTCAGTTTAGTAAACACTCCTACTAATAGGATACTACATCATTACTGCAGGGATAGGGGTGTAAATTATTTGTTAAGCAGCCTAATGGTAATCACCATGGCCAGAAGCATATGTACAGTATATACCTATAAAATGCTCAAAAAAGCAGATCAGTTTTGTATAAAATGTAGTCAGATTAAGAAGATATTTCTGTTTATTAAAATACATAGCTAAAATGAAACTGTGTGAGAAAGTATAAAATACAAAAATACAAAATTTAAAAAAGCATACGGTGCATAAAATCTATAGTCACTATTTTTACAGTATTTGGTTCCAGTTTTCAGAATGCATTTCACAAGAATGTTTTTATGAGTTCTCATCATGGCAGTGATTGCAGCAAGAATACAATCAGAACAAGAGACACTGCTTTTGATTTACCCTTCTCTAGAGTGTCGCACTGTAATCACAGAGGCTGTAGCTTGTGCAGTATGTTAGAGATGATCATTTGTCAGTGTTGTGGATCAGTCCTGCCAGTAAAACAGGCTTTGTCTCCTTTTATTTAGTTTAAAATGTTTGGATTCTTATTATTTTCCCGGTGAGATGTTCAGGAGCATCTTTAATAAGTAAGGCTTTCAGTCTGTTATGGCCCAGAAGGAAACTTTCTCCTCATTGCATCAATAGCTTTTGCAAGCTAGCAGATAAAATTGTTCCACTCATTTCACCCTTGTCAAGTCGGCTTCATCTATATCAAAGACAGACAGAAAGAAACAAACAGAGAGTTAAGGGTGGATGTTCATATATAAACTCAGTAGCAGAATGTAATTCACCATTAATTCATCTGCTCAAACAGAAAGACACTGTATCAGGTGTAATGATAGTGTCTTACTAGCATAGTCCTCTGGGGTCATGGGTTGAGAGATGACCTTTCTGAAGGCCTCCAGCCACTCTTTCTTCTCTTTGTCCTGCTCACACATGAAGACAAACTGCCTGCCTGGAGTGTACAGGGTGAAGCCCCAGTGCCACCGACTTCCCCTTCTGCTCTTGCCGGTGCTCTCTGAAACAGAGTAGCTATGGCTCTCTGTGCCGATGAAGACAGCGCCCAGCTCTGTGGCATCCTAACAGTGAAGACCAACAGAAAGAGATGTGCTTAAAGAAGAACATAAGTATATATAGTAATATAAGTAACATTTTATGGTTAACATAAAATGTTTTGTACAAATTCGTTGTTCGTTACCAGTGGGGTTTTGAAGTATAGAAGCTTTCTGTTCATTGAACACAGTGTGAACCACCTTTTCTTAAATGGCTCTCGATGCTGAACACACACATACAGAAGCAGACACACACATAGACAAAGGGACAGGGAGAGAGAGAAAGAAAGTCAAAACAATTACTCAAATTAGTTATAAATCCAAATAATTTTTCTAAAAAATGAAGACAACTGACAAACCGTTGGGCCAGTTTTCTCCATGTACCCCTCTTTCAAGGGCAGTCTTGTTAACAGAGGTATTAACTGTGTAAAGAAACACAGGTAACGTGTCACTGAACAAACAATGCAATTTAATAGCCTGAGTTCATCTTAATAAAAATGTTTTCTCACATCACTGTCTCGAAGAGTGGGATGTTTCTTCTGAAGGTATGCCAAGCGTGTTGCCCGAATAGCATTGAAGAAGGAGACAATTACCTGTGAGGCATCAGAGAAAGCTAAAGTTATCAGGAAGACTAATAAATAGAATAAACTCCACCCCTGTAAGCATATTATCTGGATGTTGTGCAGGTTTATAGTATATAGGTAAGTTTGAGATGGTCTGCTGAACTTGTTTTTCTCAGATCTATTCAAAGCCCTAGGGCAGTTAAAGGATATGACCAGTCTTTTTTTATATAAACAATTTGTTCAACACTCCCCATACAGAGACTAAAACCAACAATGAATTACCTCTACTCACTCTTAATATCTGTGAATGTGTCAGTCCTTGATTATCTTATTAAACATGAGTTGAGGCAAATCATTGCTAGTTTTAATCTTTCTATGGAGATTGCTGAAAATACTATTAACATAGAGAATGATTAGGCTTATTCATTAAGCATACCTGCCCATGCTCGTGATAAACAAATAAATTCCTTGTGCATTCGTCCTGCACGTAGGAGATCTGCAGACCGTGAACATGACCAATCTTCTCTGGCTGGAAAACTGCATTCAGATCCTTCATGGAGACAACAGCTTTGGGAACCTTGGACTTGATTGTAATAAGAAGGGTAGGGGAAACATTTTAAAAGATAAGAAACAAACAGGTATTTGAATATAACCCAAGTATGCTCAAAACACTGTGAGGGCAAAGAAACGTCTCACATCCTCTTTAATGAAGTATCTGAGGGTGAAGTCTGTCCGGGACAACAGAAAAATCCTCTTGAGAAACTGTTTGTTGTCTTTGCCTTTCTTCCATAGTGTTGACTGAAATGGATCTGGACACATTAAATAAATAAAGGAGGTGAAATAAAACAAGTCTGCATCTTATGGTGTATATAGAAAACAAAGTCAGAATTATGAATATTGTGCTGATGAGATGAATGTTTTTATGTTAACAGACTGTCAGGAATTACCTGCACTATAAGCTCGTTGAAAGTGATTGTTTTCTCCTGTGAACTCTCTTCTTTCATACTTTGTACGGATCCACTGATCCTTAAGAACACTTAAAGCAGTGCAAAACACAAATTAATGTTTCCTTACGGATGAAACACAAAGTTTTAAGTAAATGCAAGTCAGTAAAAATGTGCAGACCTGTCACTGATCTACAGAAGGAGCTCCACCTCAGTACCCAACCCTTATTGTTTGTTCCTCTTTTTGTATGTGCCACCGAACTGCTCCACTCCCATTCACTAAATAAACTATTTGTTAAGTTTTTACTTTTCACTTCCACTGAGCTAATTAGGTGAATACACACAGTTACTCACATACAGTCTGTTTGTTGCGGCCGGTAGAAGAAAGCAGGGACACATTTCTCAAAAATGGCTTTGGCTGCAGAATTTCCCCTCTCCCGCATAAACTGAAGCCAGAGTTTTAAAAGGTTATAGCAGAAACTAATATGTAGTCTATTTCATGTCAAAGACAGGGTGACATAAATTTGAGGCAATGCTGAAAATAAAAGGCCGGTATGAAATTCAGGATAATAAAGATAATAGAACAAGAGCAATCAAGAATTAAAATAAGAAATATAAAACATACATAAAATGCTGATGTATATAATGGCCCAGTATTAAGTGGACAGTGCAAATTCTCAATATATAAAAATAAAAATCTAAATGTAATGAATAATAGCTATCTGCTGTATAAGTACAAATCTATACCTCTACTAACGAGTCTTCCCAGAAATCCAGACGTATGGATTTCACTCTGCTGACAGAGGGCAAATTACGATGAATCCCTGAACAGTTCAGGCACACAAAGATGCCAAGAGTGTATGAGGTCCATTCAGGCTCTGGGAGCAAAAAAAAGCATATATCACAATGCTTACACTGTAAGAAGGGCGCAAACTCACAAACATTTGCTGTGAGTTAAAATTACACTACAGTACAATAACACAAAAGTCCAAATTGCTGTTTCTTTTCTAGACAAATGTAAACAACAAACCTGCAGGCACAAGGAACAGTGAAATAAACCAAAGTATAATTTCTTGTTTCTTGCTTTCACACAGACACAAACTGTGTTAACTGTCCATGTCAGTGATGGCAACAAAGTGTTGGGAGTTATACTCAGGAACAATGAGGTCATACCACAGACTATACAGAGGCTCCACTTCCCTTTATTAAAGCTAAGTACAAAGTGTGACTTGGCTATAAAACATTATTTTGAAGATAGTTATGTTAACAAACAATATCAAATGGCCAAATGAAATAGGACACTGTTTACTGTATTTCAAACTTTAATAAACGTGTATTAAGGTTCAAGGTTCAAAGTGTTTATTTTGTCATATGCACAGTTAGGAAACGTATTTCCCTGTACAATGAAATTTCTATTAATACAAAAAGTGAGTATGAGACCTTTGAGAAAACATATACTGTTGAAAAGTTAAGCAAACATCAAACTGTGGTAATATCCTGATTGAAAGGGGAAAAGTTTGGTTATGGATCTTTGTCGGTGTACTCACCTGGAGCTCCACAGTCAATACACACGTTGTTACCTGGCTGTCGCACCAAATCAAGTAGGATTTTGTTATTTCTTTCCAAATTGGCCATAGATAAAGGTATAGTTTGCAGCTGCCAGAAAGACAGTTAAGTCCCAACAAAAGAGCTACTAAGTATTAACTCCATACTGATTATTCACAGCTACTCTGCCCTGTAGTAGCTGAAAAAATTTCTTCTCAGTGGCCAGTGGCCCAGCATTTCCTCTTGCTAGCAGAGGTTTATTGTTCTGTACACAAATGCAGGGGTCTAGAAATAACAGAGAAAGGAAGTGAAACTGATTTCACCATGTTATAGAGAGACTAAGTGACAGTATCAGGTTTATAAACTTGTATGTATTTCATAGAAAGCTGTTAGGTTGACTGGTGTAGATGAGGTGTTTTCATTTTAGGAGATATAGATTGTACTGTCAGTGTGGGCCATCTTAAATACATTTTTGTTCATTTAAGCATAATTTCCAGTTAATGAAAATGCAGGGTAAACACAACTACACCATTTATTATTAGAGACTACATAGATGAAAACACTGAAACATTAATATCACACTTTTGCAACTTATAAAAAAGAAAGTTTAAGACCTACTTGAATTTGTGACATTTTTGGTACACTTTACTTATTCTGCCTGATTAGACTTCTCATGATTTTGTGGGTATATACAGACTGTGCTGGACTGATACTTCCCCGATTCTAAAAATACTTATTAAAAGTACCCATCATGCACCAAGATGGTTCCTTTCAGTGTCATAGTGCTACATATATTAATATTGTTGTTCTGCATTAGTGTATAAAAAGCATTTTAATATTCTAGCTGATGCTGGTGAACCACATTTTAACTTACAGTGCCTTGCGAAAGTATTCGGCCCCCTTGAACTTTGCGACCTTTTGCCACATTTCAGGCTTCAAACATAAAGATATAAAACTGTAATTTTTTGTGAAGAATCAACAACAAGTGGGACACAACCATGAAGTGGAACGAAATTTATTGGATATTTCAAACTTTTTTAACAAATAAAAAACTGAAAAATTGGCCGTGCAAAATTATTCAGCCCCCTTAAGTTAATACTTGGTAGCGCCACCTTTTGCTGCGATTACAGCTGTAAGTCACTTGGGGTATGTCTCTATCAGTTTTGCACATCGAGAGACTGAAATTTTTGCCCATGCCTCCTTGCAAAACAGCTCGAGCTCAGTGAGGTTGGATGGAGAGCATTTGTGAACAGCAGTTTTCAGTTCTTTCCACAGATTCTCGATTGGATTCAGGTCTGGACTTTGACTTGGCCATTCTAACACCTGGATATGTTTATTTGGGAACCATTCCATTGTAGATTTTGCTTTATGTTTTGGATCAGTGTCTTGTTGGAAGACAAATCTCCGTCCCAGTCTCAGGTCGTTTGCAGACTCCATCAGGTTTCCTTCCAGAATGGTCCTGTATCTGGCTCCATCCATCTTCCCATCAATTTTAACCATCTTCCCTGTCCCTGCTGAAGAAAAGCAGGCCCAAACCATGATGATGCCACCACCATGTTTGACAGTGGGGATGGTGTGTTCAAGGTGATGAGCTGTGTTGCTTTTACGCCAAACATAACGTTTTGCATTGTTGCCAAAAAGTTCGATTTTGGTTTCATCTGACCAGAGCACCTTCTTCCACATGTTTGGTGTGTCTCCCAGGTGGCTTGTGGCAAACTTTAAACGACACTTTTTATGGATATCTTTAAGAAATGGCTTTCTTCTTGCCACTCTTCCATAAAGGCCAGATTTGTGCAGTATACGACTGATTGTTGTCCTATGGACAGAGTCTCCCACCTCAGCTGTAGATCTCTGCAGTTCATCCAGAGTGATCATGGGCCTCTTGGCTGCATCTCTGATCAGTCTTCTCCTTGTATGAGCTGAAAGTTTAGAGGGACGGCCAGGTCTTGGTAGATTTGCAGTGGTCTGATACTCCTTCCATTTCAATATTATCGCTTGCACAGTGCTCCTTGGGATGTTTAAAGCTTGGGAAATCTTTTTGTATCCAAATCCGGCTTTAAACTTCTCCACAACAGTATCTCGGACCTGCCTGGTGTGTTCCTTGTTCTTCATGATGCTCTCTGCGCTTTAAACGGACCTCTGAGACTATCACAGTGCAGGTGCATTTATACGGAGACTTGATTACACACAGGTGGATTCTATTTATCATCATTAGTCATTTAGGTCAACATTGGATCATTCAGAGATCCTCACTGAACTTCTGGAGAGAGTTTGCTGCACTGAAAGTAAAGGGGCTGAATAATTTTGCACGCCCAATTTTTCAGTTTTTTATTTGTTAAAAAAGTTTGAAATATCCAATAAATTTCGTTCCACTTCATGATTGTGTCCCACTTGTTGTTGATTCTTCACAAAAAAATTACAGTTTTATATCTTTATGTTTGAAGCCTGAAATGTGGCAAAAGGTCCCAAAGTTCAAGGGGGCCGAATACTTTCGCAAGGCACTGTATTTGGTTGGTTGGTTTATTATGGCTAATTTATGGTTGATTGATGATTAAATAGTTTGATAAAAGCTATAATATTTACTTCTTAAATTTTGTCAAGTAGAAGCATAAAGTATCAAAAATGTTTAAGTACCTCAAAACTGTAGCCCACTTAAATGAAGACTAGAGTAAATCACTAGTTTGTCATAGGCTACTATTGAATTGTATTGCACAATACTGAGATGTTTGTGATATTTAGTTTAACCTCATTTATAGGATATGTCAACATAAAATGTATATATTAATAGAAATTAAAAAAATGGGGCCGAATACTTTCGCAAGGCACTGTATTTGGTTGGTTGGTTTATTATGGCTAATTTATGGTTGATTGATGATTAAATAGTTTGATAAAAGCTATAATATTTACTTCTTAAATTTTGTCAAGTAGAAGCATAAAGTATCAAAAATGTTTAAGTACCTCAAAACTGTAGCCCACTTAAATGAAGACTAGAGTAAATCACTAGTTTGTCATAGGCTACTATTGAATTGTATTGCACAATACTGAGATGTTTGTGATATTTAGTTTAACCTCATTTATAGGATATGTCAACATAAAATGTATATATTAATAGAAATTAATATAATTGTTTAAGTTCATAATATAACTATAATTTACTGTATAATATTAATTATACAGTAAATTCATGCATTGACTTTGTAGACTCCCGTACACTAAGAGGCGGTATACACCTTTAATATTCATTCGCCAGTAAACAGGCTGAAGAAGAAGCACTCCGGAACCTTTGGAAGTGGTGGTGTTGTGCAACACCGGTCAATTGTACAGCGCTGGACACTATTCAAAGGGAGAAGTTGTCAAATCTGCACGATGTTGTAGCTTAACAGAGAAGTTATTTACTTTATTGAATCACGATGTGGGTCGCCAGGCGGTTCTTATCGTCGGTTGTTCAGCGGGGTAAATAACTTTAGTGACACTTTTGTCCTGTACTCACTGTTTGCATAACGTTGAACCCACAGACAAGTAATGCGGAGCTGACCGAATTTAGCTAACGTTAGTTTTAATTGCCAGCTTTTAGTGTTTGCATTAACGTTAACTTTTCCACAGTTTAAACATTTTTCCTTTGGTTTCCCTGCCTTCGAGGCTGACGTGTTTTATTCACAAGTTGACACAAGGTTATCTTATAGGAGGGCTCTGTATTTATGTCCAACTTTTGAAAAACATTTTTAACCTAAACACGGCACATTTGACCAGTGAGCTCTCTCGTTGTATTTCTTCCACAGCTCAGTATGCAGGACAGTCCGGTTTATTCCGCCGCCCTCACCACGGCTCTTTTCCTGAGCTGGAGCTGCGGTACCTTCAGTGCACATGTTGCTGGCGAAGCCGGATTCAAGTGGCATGCTTTGAGACCCTGAACGCCACCCTCTCCTCCACTTGTGAGCCCTGCAAGGGGGGCAGCAACAAGTCTCTGGACGCCTGCTACACATCCGAGCAGCGAGACGTCATCCTCCAGCTTCTCAACAACGCCACAGCGTCAGAGCTGGCCGGTGTCAAGCTTCTGAGAGGGCGCAAATGTCACAACATTGTGGAGTACAGGACTAAAAACGGACCCTTTTCAACTCTGGAAAGTGTGGTGAATGTTCCGCTGCTGAAGCATAAAAGTGCTGTCATAGTTTTCAACTCCATCCTGAACCCGGTTAAGAAGGAGAGGAAAGTGAGGATACAGCTGGCCAAGTTTATCCGGCCAGAGATTGACAGGTCCTGGTTGGAGGTGAGGTTATGGTCCCGTGCTTGTGGATTGAATGGTCATTTTCCTTCCAATATATGGACAGCTTACAGAGATTGTGTTTGAGCATTCTCACAGCCAGTAAAAAAACATTTTGCTCTAGTCTGTTAACATTTAAGATATATAGACAGTTGACAAAGAGGAAAAATGTAATTAAATTGGAAAAGAAACAATGAATGCAGATGCTTTTGTGACTGACATGGACTGAGTGTGAAAATGATACAAGACGTATGTAGTCCCTTCATAGTCCATCTATCTGTTGCAACACAGGTACAACACAAAGCAAGAACAGTGTCTATGATAGTCAGTGTTTCTTATTTCAGTTGTCAAAATGTTAAAAGATGGAGAATTCACTGGGATCACTTGTCATGATTGTGTACTTGTGTATTCAGGATGCCAGTTCCATAGTGTCTATAGTGTGTGGGACTAATAAAATCGCCTGGGCACATGTGGACTGCAGGATGATGGTACTGGACTGGCAAAAGCTGGAATGTCCTAATTTCCTTAAGGGAACCTATATGGCTTCTTCTTACTTGAATGATGTGAGTATTTATCAGTCTTTGTTACTGACCAGTTCAGTGAACTCTCTCACAGACCTGCCCCTGTAGGGAACATAAGCCAGTATACAATTGTAAATTGTACTATTTTCTGCAAACAGGTCTCTGCAGCTGTGGAAGTCCTCCCTTCAGCAGACTTCTACATCATAGAGAAATCCTCTCTCTCAGTCCAGAACACAGCTCTGTTCCCTGTCATGGCCCACATGAGGGTTGTGGAGGCCATGCTGTTCGCTCTACTGGAACCTAGAAACTCAGCACCTGAGTCCAATGTTCCTCCCAGGTGGGATAAAAGTTGGATGTTTTTTTGACTATTTACCGTAAATGGTACCAATAAATTGTACAAAGAAATTTTTAAGTGTGTTTTGCCTTTATCTTTTGTTTGTGGCACCAAGAAACCACAAGTTTTGAAGTAGCTGAAGGTCCATGAAGTGGCAGAACTTCACTCCTTTATTTCTTTCACAGAGTTCTCAACATGATGCGCATTGCTGTAGGACGCCACTTTGGACTGATGGTGGGTGAGTGTCGGACCAGCGGGGCACAGACTGTGCGGCAAATGATGACTGAGTCGGTGACACACAAGCTTCCAAGAATACATTTTCCCCAAGAGCTGCTGGTTAAGTACAGGAACTCCTTCAAAATGGAGAGCAGAGGAGGAGGGGAGGAACTCTGTGATGCCCTGCTTCAGGCTGTGGCTTTTTATGAGCTGCTTAGAGTGGACTCTTCTAGTTAGCCTCCACATGGACCGATTTCGTGCCCCGACGGCTTAAACAAACCTAAGTGGCATTCTGAGCAGTATTGAACTTAAACCCTAAAGAGAATTGGTGGAAGTTGGTTTAAAGTATTAAATATTCCTCATGTTACATCAAGGACTTAACATTTTTTTTTAGTGAAACTGAGCACACTACTATTGTTACTGTCATTTTGGACACTTGCATCAAGCAATAGTTGTCTGCTACCATCTCCTGTCTGAGGATTTCTGCTCATGTTCCTTTGTCTTAGACTTTATTTAATAAAAAGAATCTTAGTTGCCTCATCAGCAACCCATGTCTGTACATGATCAAATATCTTTAATACATTAAAATGGTGGCAAAATAATTTATTAAAAAAATATATAATTCTACTTTCTTTGGTTCCATTTAAATAAAACCGTATCTCAAATGTGTAAAATTCATTTCAAGCACCAAGTAAATTCAGTACAGTACTGAGTGAGGTGAGGTAGTGAGAACAGGAGACTCTTGCAGACTTGTCTCTGAGAAATCTTCTGCAAGGAGTTGCAGAGTTGACTTGGACAGGCCCAGGCGTGTGCTGCTGAGGTGGCTCACACACCTAAGGTAGAGGATGAATCATTTGACTTTTGGCTGCAAGCAATCATTCTGATGAACAAAATCACATGGAATAGTCAAACTGAGGTGTAAAACCTGAAACTAATCCAACTATGACTCAAAGTGAAGCCTTCATTTATAGCACTAGTTGGCTTGGATAAAAAAAAAAAAAAGAATCCGTAAGGAATCACTGTAGTTTAATAAACAATCACAAACTATCCTAATGTTACAGGCTTCATTATAATAGCCCATAAATGTGAATTATACACATTGATCTGATGACTGTCGGCCTCCTGAAGTGGATGTAAACCTGCTGGATTTTGTCTTGCTCACCTGAACGGCTCTTCCTCCTGTCGCTGTGCTCTCCGAGCGCGACAGATGGAGCGAAGGAACGGCATGTAGTCCATGCTGACAGCTTGTCTGTTCCCCAGCAGGCCGAGGGATTTACTGCCAAACACAGACCGGCTCAGCTCATACCTCCTTCGGGACACACTGCAGGGATGAGCATATGTGTAACAAGCGTGGTGAAAAACTAATGTTTTAGTTCTCTGCTTTATAATGTTGTGTTTAATGCCATGGGCCTCAAGATTTGAGAAAAAGCAAAATATGAAGGTATTAAAACACTCTGCACCCACATGCATCTATGTGCTTCGTCTCCTTTGAACTGTAATATTCCTAATACAGTTTACAAACATCTCTAAGATGGTACTGCAGTGCTCAGTGTGCTTTTACACATTTGTTTCAAATGAATACACTTTCAGTTTGAGCTGACAAGGAGAACAGACTCACCTTGGTGCACACAGAGGTTGAAAACTATAGTTGAGGCTCTGTCTTTTGGAAGAGGCAGGTAATGTCAGTCTCTCCACCAGCTTCATCCACGTTTTGTCCTCCACGTCCTGTCTGTATTTTTGGGCTTCAGTCCATGCCTCATACACTCGCCAGCAGCACCTGTGACTCCCCAAGCCCTCAACAGCAGCCTGAATGTTAAACAGCCTCTCTTGGCTCCAGCTCCTGTCCTCTTCCTCCTTGCTCAACTCATCCAAACCGTCCTTTATCTCCGCTCCTGTCCAGACAAACGCCTCAGGCCTGCATGGGCCTGAAACAAGTGGCGCTGCAGCCGGCAGTGTAGCATCGAGGTATGACATGAGGTCAAAGAAGTCAGTCAGGGCATCTAAACAGCTGGTTTCCACTTTGGCTGCTTTTTGTTCAGTCTTCTCTCTTGAACTAGGGGCTCCTGATTGTGTGTCATGTTTCTTTCTGCTAAGCCTGGAGAATTTCCCAACATATTTGCTGTTGGTCCCTGATGCCTTCAGGTCGACATTTCCATTCAGCTGCTGGGCGAGAAGATCAGCATCAGAGGGTGCCAGCTCACTGTCCAACCCAGGTGTTGTCACCTGGTCCACAAAGTGATGTGGAGTTCTTTTCATCCCGATGGACAGAAGAAGCTCCAGGTTGGAGTAGAGAAAAGGCACACACCTTCTCCAGCTCTCTGCTAGGACGCCCAGGAGCTTGTTCATGTCTGTTTCAGACCAGCACTGACACTGACAGAATAAAAAACAAACACTACTGACAGATGCAGTACATTCTTCTTTGGAGAAAATCTCAGAGAGTATATACAGATATGAATACTTGCCTTTAGAAGGCTCAGCAGTTGCACCTGGGTCACAGGGTGGAGGCCCAGCATGTTGGCAGTGCAGCTTGTTCCACAAGGAGGACGCTGAGAGTCTAGACTGGCACTCGCTTGAGCAGCATTTGAGTCTAGAGTAGAAAAATCCAGAAAACTGCTGTAAATCTGTACCGGTATTGAAGGTGTATTGTAACAAAAGCCATGTCTATATAAGGCAACTTGATTGTGTTTTATTTAGAGAAACTTACACTGTAGATGATGAGGCTCCTCACGTGAGCCTCCACTCCGAGATGCCCGTCCTCCACCACTGTGCACCCAGAGCTGCAGCTGCAGCAGGCAGCGTCTGATGTCTCCTCGGGTTAGTCTGAGGAGACTGCTGACATCGTGCAACTCCAGTTGCACACCTTCAGCCAAACCCACCAGCTGCAGGTAGCTACAGACACTTGCCTTCAAATAGACGGAGTGTGTTTAAGACAAACTGGGCCATTTTGCTCATGTTTGTTCCAATAATTCTGCATGTGTGGGAAGCTAGCAAAGGGTTCGTCGGAATAAATATACTAAATATATATTATATAATATGGTTGTACAAGAACGCAGGAATAAGAGTTTGACTTACCACTGATGGGGTTTTGAAAATGATTTCCTCCAAGCTGCAGTTGAATCTCTCTTTGAATGAGGGATCTAAAGAGCGCATTCATTTTACATCACAGATCATCTTCAGGTCTATTCAAAATTAAACTGTGTGTGCATTTACCGTTGGTGGTCAGGATGACTGGTCTTTTAGTGGTTGTCACAAACGTCTTGATGGCCTTGTAGAAACCGATGTCATCGTCAAATACGACATCAACCTGTGGGAGCAGATGGTTGCAAACAGATCAGCCCAGATGGACCGTGATCATGGACCTCGTAGCTGTTAAATTACAAGTCCTACAGCATTGGGTTGCAGGATGAACTTTACCTCTTCAAAAAGAATGAGTGATGTGGCTGTCTTTTTGTTGGGCGGTGCTGTTGGATTGCAGTCTGGTGATGGTTCGCCCAGTTCTTTGCCGTCTGGTTCTTCAGATGGCGACGGGCCGCCAAAGTTTAAGTGATCTGCTTTGGCCTTTATCTTAAAGTAGTTGGCCAAAGTGACTGTGGCTGGGTTAGTTTTTGTTTTGTGACCAGAGCGGCCTAAGTTCTGCGCTGCCCTCCTTTTGGAGGTAGAGATGACATTTTTAGGATGCTCTGTTTTTGCTGTTAAAGTAAAGACCACAAATGCTTAGTAAATATGGTAACGAGGCTTCAATTCCTGTCTACAAATAAACCCTCTATGAACCCGACACCATACATTTCAGCTTTTTTACAACAAACTCTGTTGGAGGCTTGTCTAAGTAGGTAAAAGACGTTGTATTATTATTTGATTATCAGTCATCTCCTGCCAGATAAAGTCTTACTTTTAGGAGTGCAGCTGTTATAGTTCTTGAAGTAGGCAGGTTTCAGCGGATCCTTCCCCGACGGCTCCACTAGGTGGGACTGGGTTGCCTCCTTGAGCTGGGACAGAACACGGTGGCCACTGCGCTGTGAGGAGCAGTTCACCTCAAATATCTTTGATTGAAAAGGAAAATAAAATAAAAGATTATTCCCTGTTTAGAAGTGTGATGTCCAGAAGATTATTTAATGTGAAATCAACCAGCAGCAAATCTCTGACTCGGTCCCGTAGAAAGGGCCATAAAATATCCGCATTGGCCAAGTAACCCATTGCGATCAACAATTTCAAATTTGCCCTTGTGACTTCCTTACATTCAGAATAAGCAGTGTTAGAATTGCTGATTTTTCTGACTACTGCCAAATAGTTCAATTCAGTTAAATTTATTTGTGCAGCGCCACTTCACAAAAACTTTACATAATCAGGTCTACCTTACACCATTAGAAGGAAAACAGTATATCCCAAATTCTGGATCTTCTCTGAGGTAAAAAAAAAAAAAAAAAAAAAAAAAAATAAAAAGGCCACCTGGCAATGTGTTGGCTATTTCTAGCTCACCTGAGTGAGCCTTTTAAACCAGTTATACAAGTGTCAACTTACTAAAGTACAACTGTGACACTCCTTCAGCTGAGTAGGAAAGTGTGTTAGAACTTTGGACTGGTAGTGTATGTATTCAGGTTTTTGATATGACATTACTGTTCTCAGTGGTGAAGCCATTTTTTGATATTTTACCCTACCAAGAATCAATGTTTGATCAAGCTGGGTTTTTTTTTTGGCATGCTCAAGTGTAAAGACAGAAATACATATGCAATGATCAGCCTTTGGCAGCATGGATTCAAAGAGACTGGACTCCAACCTTGAATCCAAGCTCCTGAGCACAGGCATACACTGAGGCAGTCTTCCCCACACCTGGAGGTCCTGTTATCAGCATGGCATTACACAGCGGCTCCTCGATGTCGTCTTCGGCCCCAGCTTCTCCCTGGAAGTCTCCACAGTCCCATAGGCCTGTGCAAGAGGACAGTGATTACTTTCTGACCAAAAATCCCATTAAAATGAAACTCTACGTACATGAATACCACAAAATAAGCAGGGTTGTGACAAAATTTATGGCCATGGCTCATTAGAAGTCATATTAAAAACCTGACTCTAAGCAAAGCCAAAAGAGCAAGATGTATGTGCATCAAAGCAGAGGTGTACCATTGCTGTTTTCTTCTGATTTCCTTTCCTCCACTTTTCTCCTCTCGTAACAGTCAGATTTTAGTTTCCATTTCTTCAGCCAACTAAACAGAGAAAAATCAAATGCTCACCCTAATTATACATCCAGATTATCAGTGAAAGGATTAGAGAGCAAATATACAAAACTCACCTGTGCAGTTTATTTACTGAGACAGGGTTGCCAATGACTTCACTGGACTGCTGAGGACTGTACTTGTCTGTCCAGAGAACATCCTCAAAACAGGATCCTAGACAAAGGAAAGTTGATTTTCTTAGAGCATAAAACCTGCCTTAGAAAAAAAAACAACAACAATCAGTGTATGAGGTTTACCTCTGTGGAAAACGTCACAGTTTATGGGTGACTGGCTGTCAGATTCTGCATGATTTGTCCATTTAGAGTTGGGCTCACAGTTGGTCACCGGCCGTTCTAGGCTCCTTTCCCGTTGCCTCAGCCTGCGAGTGCGACTCAGTTTGTTGCTCCTGGCCTGCATCTTCTCCAGAACATCCCGTGCTGCCAGGTGACAGTGATTCACACCACCGGCACCATGTGCAGCAAGACTGCACCTCTGACGCTTGGATGTCCACTCAGAGCTTTCATTTCCTTGTTTCCTCTTCCCTTTTAGGTGGTTCTGCAAGGAGCTTGGATACCGGGAGTTTTCTGCTTTGTAAAGGAGAAAGACATTTTAAGTGAATAAGATGAATGTACAGCCACACTAATAAGGAGGTGTTGCTTAGCCTCACCTGTGGAGTCACAATCCTGTAGTCTTGCTTTCCTCTGCAAAGTGCTGAACACTGCTTGGACTGGAAATGAGGGATCAGATGTTTGGATTTCTTCCAGACTGATGCACAGAGCTGAGGGTGACAAATGTCCTCTCCAGGTAGACAGGGGCTCCTCTCCCCCCGTCAGCTGAGATACTGTAAGTGTTGATAACTGCTGTTGACTTTTCACCCATTGCAAAGCATTACTTTGAAGAGATAATGCCGATTTTTGCTTCTTCCCCACAGGCTGATACAGCTTGCCATCATTGCTCCATTTACTCTCGCTTTGCTGTTTGGTACGTGTGAAAATTGGTGCAATTTTAACACCTTTTGTGCAGCAACTCTTCTGCAGTGGTTGACCTTTTTGGGCGAAGTCTTCACCAGAAGCAGGATACGAGTCAGATTTATCTTTTGCAACCAGCGAGGCCCAACCCCTCCTTGGGGAATAGCTCGACTCCGAATCTAACGTTATCACCGCGGCGGTTTGCGTTTGGTCTTTGCTTTGGCATGTCACATCCTTAAGGTTTATGCTCCGTTTGGGTTTGTTTCGCATAATTAAGGGCTCAAAATGCATTTGGCGCTTGGCTTCCATTCAAAATGAAGTGACGTCACGTTGTGCTACGTTACCCCTAACTTTTGAACGGTCTTTTTACGCTGACCCTCTAATATAACTTTGTATTTCGATAAAGAAAGGATAGCGTTGCAGTATAAAAAGGGAAACAATAGTAATAAATATATGCAACCCCTGAATATTTTAACGGTTGCTGCGGCTTCGAAAACATCTCGACTGACGTCACTGACGTCTATAACACGGGCCAGGTTTTGGAGATGCCAAAGATCGTATATTCACAGACAAACTACACAGATGCTCCACTACAGTCAAGCAAGTGGACCGAAAGGATTCAGATTAGCTTCCCAGGGTGACATCCACTGACCCTCACAATGCATGTCAGTTTCATTTTACCAGAAACCAAACAGTATATGCTAGAGCTGAGCTCATATTAATTAGTTAAAAGTCGCAACATTTTGGCAATAAGTTCATTCACACTGTATTACTATACAACTGACCATGATGGAGGGAGTGTAACCACAGCTTATGTATGTTCAGAACTGGCCATGGATACGGTCAAATGCAATTTATTTCTTTAAATATAAAAATACCCTTAGCCAGAGTGTACAGTTTACAGTTTTTAACAGGGTATTTTGACAATAATGGCGAATGTGTCCCTTTTTCCAGATGAATACAAAAACCCACCATGAATAATGGAGGGAGAAAACACACTGTTAACAGGGCGTCCACCAGCAAAGGTTAATGAAACTATGCATGGTCTGTGATTATGGTCTAGTTTATGTGCACACTAGAAAACTACTGCTTTTCAAAAAAAAAAAACAACTTATGGAATGAACAAAAGAAAAAGACACTAAATATACAGAACTGTTGAAAATATTCTCCCTCTCCTTTGGCATAAACTGCACCTAACAGAACTTAATGGGACCTGAAAACTAACCATCCAATAAACAGCATATTGCTTTGACAGGAGATCTGCAGTCTGTTAATTATTGGATTCAGAATGGGGCACAGTGTGGTGTGATTATACAGATGTCAGTCAGTTACTGATATTCAGAACTCATTAAAAAATGACTACAGGTGACTGCACCACCAGAAAGCTGTTGGCTTTTATATCTTTGATGCTATACACCATATACGGGCTGATGCACTGCTGGTATTTTTTTTTTTTGTGTGTAAAACATTAAAGAAAAATAAAACATTTTCTGAACAGTTAATTCCCTGGGTTTTCTTGAGCTATTATCAACGCAGGCCACAGGCTTATGGGGTAATTAAGAGTTTTAGCCTGGACCTAAAATCTGAATTTATCCTCGTCCAAGACCCAACCTTACACTATAGCATCAACACTGTTGTTATGGCAACCTACCAGTAAAACCCATGATCCATTTGTGTAGTCCTACCACAAACTTTATATACTCTAAGCATCAATGCCAAGTGTAAATTTTTACTGTGATGTTCTCTTAATTGTGTGACCCTTTAAATTAAATGTAATTCACAATAGTGAAATCAAACTTGCTAACGTTTCTCCACTGATGACAGTGAAAAAGCTGCGTTTAACATTTGGCGCAAGGGAAATTTAAACAAAGAGAAAAGAAGTTCATGGTCAGCTTTCTAAACACAAACACCAAGTGCTAAAATAATCAGCTAAAATGATACGATTTTTCCAAGAAGATTATTGTGTGTACACAACTATCAGTGACAATGTTGCCAGAACAGTTTTAACTGTAGTCTCAGTACAGTTGAATGTATCAAGGACATACCAAAGGCAGTCGCATTAGAAGATTCTCAACTTGTTCACTCTCACCCAAGCACAGATACATCAGTTGCCCCTACAAAATTCATCTTAGGTAGGTTCGACTTGCATCATCCAGTCTTCAAACATCTGGCTTGTGTAGTTGTGGGTGATTCATATTTATATTGTTCATATTTGGTTCAGTTCTCAAGTTCCAAAAACTTGTTTACCTTGTTTATTGATCTGCTTCAGGTCACATCCTCCATTGACCACTGCTCCCACCTATCTAAGCACCAGAGGGTTGGTAATGTTCATTAAACAAAGAAAAAAAAAACAACTAACAAACAAAAGAACAAGACGATAATCATTGTTCCGTCAATCTGTCCAGCCTGTATCAGTCCGTTAGCGCACTTTTTGTTCTCTTGCCCTGCTTCCCCCCACTGGAGATGACAGCGTTGCCATTGCAAGCTCCTGCTGGTATCAGATTCTGGTCCTGCTGCTCCTCCTCGGTGTCTGGCAGCTCTTCTTGAATCTGTCGCAGACGGGCCATGGCACGGTCTATGGTGACTGTGCTCACCAGGTTGAAGTCATGCATGCTGACGAGATGTAGGAGGAAGTTGCGGCAGAGTTTACGGCGGATGATGTGAGCACCGCTGTTCTCCACAAAAAGCATGATGGCCTGGTTCATCTGGTTGTCTGCTATGAAACTGCAGGTAAAACAGAATACAGAAGAGCATTTCAATAGACAGGTTTTTTTAACAGTCAGGTGCCAGCCCTTGGCAGGCGCCATAGTAGCTAGATAATCAGTCACTTCACCTGCCAGTGGTTTTAATGTGGTGGCTGATCTCATATCTATCACTTCTGAGTACTGTCATAATGAACATACCCATGCTTCATGACATGCAGGTTCCACAGCTTCATCACCTCCTTCTCTCCCTCATTGACATCTGTGAACTCATCCAGTTGCTGCAAGTTAAAAAAAACAAAATGTACAAAGTATGATACATCTGATGCAGTACAAATGCTTTGCCATCTCAGCTTTTGTCAGTGTATTGTAATGGAGTTGTCTTGAGACAAAGGGAACAAGAACAAATTCCTGATAACTAACATCGACAGACACTTATTGTACTG